ACTTTAATAACTCTTAACACCCGCCATTGTTATCACTAAACAAAAGCAGAGACACTGGCAAACAGAGCAGGGCACAGAAAACTTCTCTATCGATTTCTGCCCGAGGAACTCTCTAATAGGCCTTTGGCATAAAAAAAAAAAATACACATATATGATCCTCAGGCCTCGCCGTGACACGCTTGATCAATGTGGCTGGCGCGCAATAATTCATTAACCTCTCGGTCGGATGGGTGCTCCACATTCTTCAAGGCTTGCATTGAACTCTTAAGCCATGTTAACTCCCACTGCTCTTTTCTTTCATTAGAGATGACATACTTTCATTAGTCCCACCATGGCAACCGGACTGGCAGAATGCTTCCGATGTGTGCTGATCCGAAGCAGAATGGCCTTTATGATGTCATAATTGGTTATTGGGTAAGGTTGATGATGTGACCGTAGAGCTGCTCGGTGAAGGCCTGCAGCGAGAAGCGCTGCTGTACCCGCTCTCTTCCAGCCTGTCCCATACGCTGCTTTAGTTTAGGGTCCGTAACAAACTTCTGCATGGCTTCGGAGAAGCACTCAGGGGTGGGTTTGCAAAGGAAGCCCGTTTCACCATGGGCCACAGACTCTAGCGGTCCACCTGAGTTGACCGCAATAACTGGGCAACGTGAGTACATGGCCTCAATGGGTACGATGCCAAAATGTTCATTGCTTGGAGTGTACAGTACACAAGTGCTGCTGTGCAGCAAAGACAGTTTTTGTTTGTCTGAGAAGGAGCGCAGGAAGGTGACGTGGTCCTCCAGGCCTAGAGAGGACGCTAGTGAGCGCAACTCTTCGTAGTGCTCTACATTCTCAACCACGCGCTCGTCGTAACCCCCCGCCATCACGAGGTGCACGCGCTCCCATTCCCCTGTGGACAGACGCTCTTTCAGGGCCGCTAACACTTGTAGCGCCAATGGCAGGTTCTTTTTGCGTTCATAGCGGTTGATTGACAGAAAGGTGAGGCTCCGCCCCTCAGGGAGCAGTCCGCTGAGGCCCTCTACTTCAACATCGAAAGCTGACGAGTTCAGAGAGGGATAAAGGACGTCGGTTTGAATCTCAGCCAGTTTGGGGAACGTCTGTTTGAAGACTCCTGCAGTGAACTGGCTGTTGACCAAAATGCGGTCGGCCATGCCTGTGGTCAGTTCCTCGAACCAGTCGATGGGGCCTCGATATATGCGCTTCAGAGCCGAGCGACACTGAGTCAGTAATTGGTCAGGAAAATGACAGTAGAATAGGACTTTCTTTCTGTGGCGTGCCAAACGCAAAAAGGGAATACATGCTGAAACCTGAAAGAAGAGGGAGATGAGCAAACAAAATGAACCCTTGTGGTTGTGAGGAGAACGATTCTCTTGATTCTGACTGGTCAATCACAGCTTTGTGCGGTCTAATAAACTGTTGTTTTGACCAATGTCTAAGGCATCTTTTATAGTCTGGTCATATATCATATCTCGATGGCTTTTCTGTAGCACAAACTGTACAGCATGGTGCTAGCAACACCAAGGTTATGGTTTTGATTGACAGAGAATGCATAAATTGAAAACAATTAACACTCGCAATTCAGCGTTGCTTTGGATAAAAGCATAAATGTAAATTTAAAATGCATTACTTATCTCGTTCTTCTCACATAATAAAATAATTTCAAGTTTGTAAACTTATTCCGTTCATCAAAAAAAATAAATCAAAATAATGATTCTTTCATACATCGGAGATCGCTACAATGCTTCAGAGAATCTTCAGTTCAAATTAACAATGAACATTAGTGGAGCAAAATTTAGATAATATGCTTGCCAATGTTTCTCAGTACTTTATTAAAGTCCACCACTGAAAAAGAGAAATGTTGTTAGGCTGAAATAAAATAAAATATTGAATGAAATGTTGCTGTGGCAACTACCTGAAGTTTAAGTACCAGAAATTAATCAAACTGAAATAAAAATAAATTCAAGCTAAATAGAAATATGAAATACAAATAAAAAGACAAACGCATGTATAATTTTTTTTAAAACTTACATTTAAAACTTAAAATTAAATTTTATACTGAAAATATTAAAATAATAGATAATACAAAATATGAATAAATACTTTAATACCCAAAAATAACCCTGATAATTAGTAGCTAGTGCTAGTAGCATCAGTAGTTACCTGATCACAGAAGACAACATCGAACTCCTCCCCACTAAAGAGCACAAGATAGAGAGTTACATAGATCATGCGCAGGTATGCACAGAGAGCGTGGAAATAACCGAACACGCTGGTGGGCAGCCAGTCGCCCACACACACCACAGGCAGGTCAGGTGAGAGCGTCTCAGAAAAGCAGTGTTGGGGATCATAGTGTGCCGTCCAGATCTGAACGCTGCATCCACGAGAGCACAGAGCTACAGCTGCATCCACCACCAGACGCTCAGCTCCACCAATACCCAGATCAGGGTGCAGGAACACCACCCGAACCATCCTGTCCCAACCAGAACCTGTAGAGTCAAAAACAGGTCAAATGAACATTACACCTTATTTTTAAGCTCAAGACAAAGCAACTAGTCTTTCCAGGTGCTGCTGTATAGAAATCCTAGTAATCTGTCACACACATACTTGTGTTTACTTAGCTATCTAGATGATGACACTTCTTAGACATCTATTGTTTTTTTTATACCACTGGTTATAAATAAGCTCCTAACAGAGAACTTTATGATTTTTTACAATTACATAAAAAAAGATAAAAGTTAACAATGTTTTCATCAGATGATTAATCAAGTATTTCATGCCACTGTGTGAACAGGCCAGGCCAGCGTGCACGTGTCTCTGTTCATGTCACTGGGTCACAATCTATCATAAGCTCTATTACATTCACATGTGATCCTGGACCACAAAACCAGTCATAAGGGTTAATTTTTTTTAAAACCGAGACTTATAAATCATCTGAAAGTTGAATAAATAAGCTTTACATTGATTTGTTAGGATAGGACAATATTTGACCGAGATACGACTATTTGAAAATCTGGAATCTGAGGGTGCAAAAAAATCTAAATATTTTAATATATAAAGAAAATCGACTTTAAAGTTGTACAAATGAAGTTCTTAGCAATGCATATTACTAATCAAAAATTAAGTTTTGATATATTTATGGTAGGAAATTTACAAAATATCTTCATGGAACATGATCTTTACTTAATATCCTAATGATTTTTGGCATAAAAGAAAAATTAATAATTTTGACCCATACACTGTATTGTTGGCTATTGCTTCAAAATACCCGTGCTACCTATGACTGGTTTTGTGCTCCAGGGTAACATATGTTATTACGGTCCAGTACCACAGGGCCAAAGTGGGACTCATTTTCAGCCCTGGAGTTTCATGCCTTAGACCGGCCCACTTCTCTTCTTTTTTTTTTTATTACTGGCCTTTTCAGTGCCTTTTCTTTGCGCTTTCTATTATCCATTTTTCATCTATTATTTTTTGCTCGCATATCTCCAACAACTGAGGGTTTTTGTTTTTTTTGAGCAAGGTGCCATTGTCAGGGGAGTCAAAAGATAATTATGTCATCATTAGGGTTGTCAATTAACTTCAGAAATGGAAAATAAGGAACAATTGTGATTCTTTATCTTTTATTCTTTAAGAAAATAGTGTTTATTCTTGTAGAAAATAAGTGTTTGTTCTTTAAGAAAATAAGGGACAGAATAAAGGACGCTCCAAAATATTTGTACTGTACCATAATGCATGTCTGCCTGCAGTCAAATAGTTCTCAGAAATAATCACAATTGTTTATGTACAATTATTCTAAAAATAATTGTAATGTCATACAAAACACGTCATCGGCCTGAGTAACTTGTACTAATATAGAATTGTGACTTCACAAGTGTAGTAATTTAGGAGGTGAAAATACTGTGAAATTACAAATGGCATGAAATTTGAAAGCGTAACAACTGAAGGTCTATGAAACGTCAGTCAATAAAGCATTTTAAACAATGGCACTTAAAGTTTTGTGAACTAAAAAAATCATTGCAACCATATAGCCTTTGAATAAATGAAAATGCATAAAGAAAACTTAAGAGTGTGGGCTGCTTCTGGTGCTTGGATTTGTAATTTGAGAATTTGTTATCGATATGGTCTGGTGAAAATAATAATATGGCCTGCGAGAAAATTATAAATAAAAAGAGTGGGGCTCCTATGAGTGCGGGCAGTCTAGGGGCATCATCACTGATCTATATATAATATCTATTACAGATCAGTGGACAGCATCCATATTTCAACCCCCGTGGCATGACAACACCGCGGCCCTCGCGGCCAAAAAACAGACCGGCCCACCGGAAATCCTCTCGGTGCTCCCGATTAGCCAATCCGGGCCTGGTCCTGCAACATTACATGTCTGCAGGTATCTATAAACAAGCGGGGCACGTCAGCTCAGAGTTGAAAAAACATCAATATTCATTCTCAATGCCATATATTTAGTAAAATATCAATCGAGACTCAGTAACTGTGTTACCCTGCTACATACCAAGTAGTAACACTGTAACATCATATATAACGTCATATTTTGTTTACACAAACTCAAATTGTGCTTACAGTGTTAGTTAACAACCAGACAATATGTTTTAAAAAAAATCGTGAGGAGAACACACTTACCTGTACTCTTACGATTACTGACACTAACCCAGCTGGCTCACAGTTCGCGATTTCGTGAAACCGGATCCCTGATTGAGCCAACATGTCTACCCTACTCTGTACACATCATCCATCGCACACGACACGTCACTGCACTCCATTGAACTGCCTTTGAGTTTCCCAAATGAAAATCTGACGCTAAGCTACTTTTACTGAAATTATTCGTTTTTATTATGACCTGTTTTGAGGTTGTATGTCAAATCTAGGTTCAGAAAGCATCCTAAAGGTGTTAAAGTAACGCGTGGGATCACAGTTCCAGTCAGGCACTCCGCTTGCTCCTGCGTGGGTCCTTTCTGTAGCTGTCGTGGCCTTCTGAGTGAAACGTCACCAGTAGGCCTTCTCTTGTAGTGGTCTGGATCTGCTGGAGTTCAGTTACAGAGGCAGTCAACTACATTCATTCTTTTCCCCGCAGACTCCTGAAACATATACTATTGAACAGAATGGTAAGTTTTTCAATGCAGGTTTTCGTGGTTGGGGAGCTTTATAGTAAGTATTGTGTGCGTATTGACAGTTATATCTGGATTGCTATGTGGTAGCCAGTCATGCTCAGTAGTAACGTAACGTTACCGTTATTGGAATACGTTAGTTAACTTAGTTCTGCCATTTACTTGCTTAGCAGCTACTTAGATTTGAGTTTCAGCTATTGGAATTGCTGTTTTGAATAGTATTTAGTTATATGCTAGTAGATGTATAAAGTTTGTAGGGTTCATTCGCTCACTAGCTAGTTGTATGGGAGACGTGGCTCTCTTAAGTTAGACCCCCACACCAGCTCTACAGTCTAAATCTGACTCGCTGTCTTAGTCTGAGTACTGCCTTATAATATATAGCCTATGTGCCATTATTTTACTGTTATATAGGTTTGAACATCTATTGAGCTATATCTTTTCTAGAGGCTTTTAATGAGAATTGATTGTGCTTGCATTCGAGTTATTTATAGATACTTAATATATGGTAACGTTATATTGGTGGAACATATTAGCTAAGGTGTTTGCTTTAACATTATTAACTTAGTGTTCTTATTGTAGTATGTTATATCTCAGAGATGGATGTACAATTTTCTTTTGTTGATGCAGAAAAACTATTAGATCGATTACTGTGCACTTGGTTTACTACGTCCTCTATTTGTCCCTCTATTCAGCCTGGACCCGCAGCTAGTGCGACAAATGTTGGCACCTCCAGCCGTTCCCCCAGTAAGACAGTGGCCCCCCGCACTGCCGGCACCTCAGCCCGACAGAGGTAAGGAAGGACCTCGCAAGAGTTTTGTTTGGGCCTTAATACACCATCAAGCTGGATGCTTTCTTTGTGTTTCTGTGATTTGATCAGCAGGCCTGAAAGATATTGTTTATTTAGATAAGTCAGAAGTTGACTGATGAGGCCCTAATCAGTGTTTTGTCCTGCAAATTTTACGTCATCAGGGTTTGATTTCATTGATTTAGCTGAGCTGATAGTGAGTGTTTGGTAATATCTGACACTTTGATTTGTCCTGTATATTTAAACAGATATTTTTTTGTTGATTTGCTCAGGAAAGCCCCTAGCAGCAGTGCACGCAGCGGAGGCCGATCCACAGCATCCGCTGGCACAGGAGGGATGTGGCGCTTTTACACTGAGGACTCACCAGGACTTAAAGTGTGAGTATTCATATTCACACACAATAAAGAATGGTTTAAAATGCTTTCCACTCAGAGATGGAACAAAATATTCTAAAAATCTAAGAAAAATTGTTACACTACTGTTTTTTGTTTTTTTTGAAAGACCAAGGATGCATTTCATTTATAAAAAGTGACAGTAAAAAAAAAAGTGACTTCTGAACTTGAAATCCTGAAAAAAATGAATCTTGTTTCCACAAAAATATTAAGCAACACCAAATCGGTGTATTTCAGTGATTCTGAAAAATCATTCACCTCTGCCATCAGAGGAATAAATTGCTTTCTAAAATTTTACAGTAGAAAGTTATTTTTAATCTAATAATTAAATGGAACTGTATTAAGTTATTTTACTTGGAATAATATTCCACAATATTATTATTTTTAAATGCAGCCTTGGTGAGCATAAGACTTTTTTTTTATATTTAAAAAAAGTCTTACCAACCCCAAACTTTTGAATAGTAGTTTATGTACTTGAATAAGATTATTTTTTATTAAATGTATTTGTTTAGCAGAGGTTTTCCTAATAAAAATTACTGCTGAGGCACCATTATTATTCAGTTATTAATTTGCATGTATTTGAAAATAGACTGCAGAAATAATAAAAAAAATTCAGGTACAGTCAGACAATTTAGATTAAGTCATATCTTTAGATGTTGGTCAGATTTTAATTCAGTGCTTTTTTTTGTAATAAAATCATATTTTGATATGTAATGCTCTCATATACAGTCTTTATTTTTCCTTTTTATTGCTAGTCTTTTTTTTTTTTTTTTTTTAAACAAAAGGCTGTGTGTGGGGAAAAAATCTACTAGCTATGAAATCATGTCAGACATATTTTTATTGCATTTTATTGCTTAATTTAAGGACAAAATAAGCAAAGGTTATTATTTGAGATACTTAATGTGCAAAGAACCAACACAGATGCTCATTTTTAATTCATCCCCTCAGCTCAACAGGAAGTGACACGAAAGGGAGGAGCAGAGGGTTCTGAGAGGTTTAGCATTTATAAGGATAAACATGAAATTTTAACGACAGGAAATTGGCCTCATGGGCTCAACCTCCGTCTTTATTTGATGTCTCCCCTGCCGTTTCCCCTCCTACAGCTGTGTACGTTTGTGTGCTGTAATTAGAGCCATTCTCTCACTGCAACCAACTTCTATAATCGTGTCTTCCTTGTTTTTGTTTTTAAAGCACTGTTCTAGATCGGTAATGTTACATCTGTTCATTCCATACGTACAGATATGCCCGAGCATGTCAGAATAGATTTGAGGGAGTCTACAGTGGCGTATTTACAGTCAAGAGTATCTTAGAGTAGGAGAGTCTGTGTGGAGTTGTGTGTGAAGTATTTTTCACTTTTTTTTGTGTCTGTGTTTTGAGCTTAATTAAAGTTCCCTCAGAAAAGGTCACATCAATTAAAGCCTGAGGGGTGGGCCTTCAGTCGGCATGGTTACGCAGCTGCCTAGCTACCCAAGGGATGGTCAGTTCCTGCTTTAATAAAGCCCCACATTTTCCGACTAGCTCGTTACCAGTATCCGACTCACCAGCGTTTAGAATCCTAATTAACTCGTCTTCTATCACATGATCAAGACGAGCAGTCCTGATTGGCCCACTGGGAGGAAATTTGTGCTGAATGTTTTTTTTTATTTATTTTTTTTAATCCCCCTCATATTGAAAATGAAATTTGAGAAATAGTTACTGAATTTAGTCGGTCTGTCCTCCACTAGGGATCCCTCTGTCTTACTGACTTAGTTTTTTTTAATGTTCATAATGGCATTTTTAATGTTCATAATAATGATTAGGCAGTAATTACATCTATTCCTGGTTCTCTCTTGTTGCAGTGGTCCGGTTCCAGTTTTGGTGATGAGTCTGCTCTTTATCGCATCTGTATTCATGCTGCACATCTGGGGCAAATACACCCGCACCTAAACCTGCATGACCTCTGGACTCTGACCCTGAAGCCTGTCACCGAATCTTAAGCCATTGGACTTGGACCAAACTCTGACCATCAACACCCCAATCCCTTTTTCTTTATTAAAACCTCCATTTCACGGTTTTTTTTTTTTATACCCCCATACAAGTTTACGCAGCCACTACAACCATTTGGTAATTTAAAAACCATCAGTTTTTGCTTTAGTTTTTTTCCCCCCACTCACCAGATCAGGACATCTCTTTTTGTTTTTTAAAAACTTGTGTACAAACTAATATGTAAATTGTACAATAAAATGCTGTAAAACGTCACCATTGTTTTTCTTTCATCTACGGTGGGGGAAAAAAATGGGAAGGTGTGATTTGCGTCACAGGGCATAATTTGCATATCTTCAGTTTGTGGCATAAGAAGGGGTTGTATGCAAATGTGCATTCCAGACGTGCTGTTAGTGCACAAACCAGATCAGCTACACCCGTCTCTGAATGTGATGTAATATTTGCGGTTACCCCTATTTCACTGAGCCTGCAGCCTTGTCCCATCAACACACCTGTGCACACCCTAAATCTTTCTCTGCAACACAATTGTATACAAAGGGAATTTTTAAAACAGATAATTTCTTTAAATCAGAGCTATTAATTAATAATTTAAAACTGCACAATAGGTGGTTTTGCTTTAAATTACCTGTAAATGTCTCATTATATATTCTGTGAATCTTTCTTTTCAGACTTATAAAATTACTGTTTTTTTTCAGTATTCCAGAAACCAGAAAGTCGGTAACTGCAAGCCAGGCACAGAGTTTCGCTATTGAGCTTCTTCTATGACTTTGGGCATGTTTAAGTTGCAGTCTGTAATGCAGGGGAATTGAGTTTGATACAAGCTCAGTTTGTTGAACATAAATGGAGATGTGGTTGATGCTAGAAGAACTGTTTGAATAAAAGGCAAATGGCAATGAAAACGTCTGTAGTGATTGGCAGAATCGTAATATGAATGCTAAATGATTTCAGGAGGGAGGTACTCCTTTATCTTTTGACTGAAAAACACGTGTACAGTAACCTCAGCTATAGTTGAACAGAAATCAGACTTGATTGAAAAAAGTATGTGGATTCTTACACTTAGCAAACTTACATATAATAACCTATTTTTGTATATTTCATCACCTACAGGACATATAACCTGCTGCATACAATTTGGTCATGTTCAAAATCAAACAGGCCAGCTAATTTCGTCATTTACCTCAGTGCATGTCATATACATTTTGCTAAAGGCATAGATCACCCAAAAAGTAATACCCTTCAAAATTTATATTGTGGGTTGTACTAAATTGTTTTTGCTGATAATATCCACAAACACACTTAAAACTGAAGGCGCAGCTGGGATTTAATTGTTGGCGCGTATTCATAAAACCGAACGTCAATGTTGTAGTAGATGAGACTGTAGGAGGCGCTGTGACCCACTGTTAGTTAAACAGCCTCTCTCTCTGTGTGTGTGTGTGTGTTTGTGTTTGTGTTTGAGTCCGAGTCTGTGTTCTTCATTATTCATGTCCTAACTGAGAGTAAGGTTTCCCTCTGGTTCACTCTAATCCCAACAGCTAACAACGCAGTCAGAATTATTCAGTATCATCTTAAAAATGGATCCATATGGGCAAGGACTGGTGCATTTGAGTGTATGTGAGAGATTTCATGAAGTGTGTTTTAATTGCTGTCCACTGGGCTCTATGTGCTACTTTAGGCTGAAATCCAGTGTTTATGACTAATGCATTAACATACAATAATTTAAGATTATTTGACTCGGATACAAAAAAAGTGTGATCAAGAATGTTGCATACAGTATATATTAAAAACACAGTCTGCAACACATTTAAAGAACAAAGTGTCAAGTAATAACTTTTTTAAATACTTTCTCTAGGCCTATATTTTACCCCCTGATATATTGCAGCATTGGTGTATTTTTAGTGTATTGTTGCCCACTAGCATATTAATGGACAAGAAGTTATCACACTGAAAGGTTTTCAGAATTCTATGAAATTTGACGAGTTTAGATGAGCGTGTTCACACCTCAAGATTCAGAGTTTTTTTTCTGTTCATATATATATATATTTTTTTTCTTTCTTTCTTCTAACCATTTCCTGAGCTCTAACCACTGCCTGCATAGAGGGACAGCCCCGGAGAAACATGCTCAAAGATCACCAACAAGAGCTGCATGCACAAGTCTCATATACACAGTTTCAAAAGGCCACATGGCTCATTGTCAATGCAGACACTCTTCTTTCTTTCTCTTTCTCTTTCTCTCTCACTCACATGCACATATATACAGACTTCCTTCCTCATTTCCTCGGAGGACACACGCGGTCAAGTGTTCACCGCTGTCCCTTAGTGATATCAGTTTCAACACATTTTCTGTATCAGTTCAGTTACATAACTTCAGCTATAATTAAAATTAGAATAAAATTATTTCAAGTCAAAGGGTGGTGATGAGGAGGAAACCATAAGTGGAGTGGATCTGTTTGGAAACCCCAGGTTGGCAGTGGCAAGTCGAGGTGGAAATGCAGGTTTAGCTCATTTTGAGAGGATGTGGTTCAGGAAAGAGGAACCACAGGTTTGTCTCCACCACCCCCAAAAGTTGGTAAGGTGGACCCTTCCACTTGGGGAAATTCTGTGTAATACTGGAACAAGAAAGAGTGGGGAGTGGTCAGGTCTAAACACAGGTCTAAAATGGGTCCAAAATGCTTTGTGATCTGATGACTCAAACCACGTTTGGAGGTAGGCAGAAACGCATGTTATAACATTGCAGTCGTAGTGTAAATGCAAATGTGCTGTTGATTAAAAGTTTGCCTACGCAAGTGTCAGACATCCATTGTGCTAAAACAAGGGTATTAAACATTGTCAGTAATATATGATTGATATATAAAAACATTTTCCCGTAATGGAACACCTGAGATGGATGATAATACCAGGTGCAAACAGGCCTGGTCATGCTGAGCTTTAATCTGCCCACTTCAAACCGTTCTGTCAAAACAAAACATGCTTCATACAAACCTTTGATTAGTTCAGTAGTTATTTGAAACACTGTAGAATCGCATTTAGCATGCCGAGTAAGCCAGGTGTGTCACACATTACAGTAGCGTCTGTGACATGTGCCTGTCAAACTGTGAAATCAAATCTGACAAGTGCAGTTTGTCTTCTTGAAAGAGAAATATAGTGTGAGGACAAGTTTGTAATATACTGGAGGTGATGATACAGTGAAATTTGCATAAGTAGAGCAAGACACACAGCAGGAGCAAGCCACTCCTTGTCTGTGGGAAGTGGGCCTCCTGCATGCTTTCATTTTTGGATTTACAGTGGGTACGGAAAGTATTCAGACCCCCTTAAATTTTTCACTCTTTGTTATATTGCAGCCATTTGCTAATTTTAAACATTTTTTTATAAATCTGCAAAAATGTCAACAATTCTGTGTTTTTCTGTCAATATGGGGTGCTGTGTGTACATTAATGAGGAAAAAAATTTAACTTAAACGATTTTAGCAAATGGCTGCAATATAACAGAGTGAAAAATTTAAGAATACTGAATACTTTCCGTACCCACTGTATATGACATAAACTGTATTGTGATTTGTGCCAAGGCGATATACACTGTTCTTAGGAAATAGATAATAATTTCAGAATTGTTAGCGCGTCTGCTCACGTTAGACATCTAAGTAAATTATTTGTCATGACCCAGTGCATACACATAGATATGGGTGATTTTTGCTTGACTTCTTCAAACCATGTTTTTTGATGTTAAAAATGTGTATCAAGGATATTGGAATAAGTACCTGATAAAGGGGTATACATTTTTCTAAAAAATTTCTGTAAGATTACATTTCTGATCTTCAAACTGTCATAATATCTCACTTATATTGTTAACTAAAGAAGTTTAATAAATATATAGTTCAGTCATGAAACTCTAGATGGCGCATTCTGACGGGGTGTTAACGTAACTGATGATATTCAGAGAGTTAAAGGGGTCATATGATGCGATTTAAATGTTTCCTTTCTCTTTGGAGTGTTACAAGCTCTTGGTGCATAAAGAAGATCTGTAAAGTTGCAAAGACTAAAGTCTCAAATCCAAAGAGATATTCTTTATAAAAGGTAAGACTTGTCCACCCCCTCCTAAAACGGCTCGTTTAAACACGCCCCCACATGTCTACGTCACTGTGTGGAAAGATTTGCATAATGCCGATCAAATGTTCACGCAAAGAAAGAAGGCGCAATACGCAACGCATGGATGCAACAAATGCCTCGTTTGTAATGGGTTATATTGGTTTTGTCTCGCCATGCCGGGAGACGGCATCACAGTGTGTTAAAGGGGTCATATGATACGATTTCAAGTTTTCCTTTCTCTTTGGAGTGTTACAAGCTCTTGGTGCATAAAGAAGATCTGTAAAGTTGCAAAGACTAAAGTCTCAAATCCAAAGAGATATTCTTTATATGCATTGTATTTGCATAATGCCGTCCAAATGTGCACGCAAAGAAAGAAGGCGTGGTTTCAGGAACCGCAGTTAGTGTTGAAGCAGCATGTCAGGGTGACGCTGTGTGTTTCTAGGCGAAAGCAAAAGCACTTTATTTGGCCTTCCGGAAGTAGAAGCATTAAGGAATCTTTAAGATTACTTACAACAGAACAGCAATGCATTTTATGAATGACCGTTTCGTGAACCTAGGAGAGGAGGTAATTCTGACTTTGCTATGACAATCTTGCGCTTCTGAATCAGCTACTGTTTTGTTATTAGTTAAAGTATTTGCTATTGACTGTTCAAATGCGGAGTTTTGCGCATCGTGTGTGTGCGAGTGAGAGAGAGAGAGAGAGAGAGAGAAAGAGAGAGCGCCCGCGAGAGAGAGAGAGAGAGCGGTGTGTGTGTGTGTGCGTGCGCGAGAGAGAGAGAGCGGTGTGTGTGTGTGCGTGCATGCAGAGCAAGAGAGCGGTGTGTGTGTGTGTGTGTGTGTGTGTGCGTGCGCGCGCGAGCAAGAGAGTACTGCAAACACATACCAGCTTCATTACTGTGTCTGTCACAAGACTCTGTTCCCCTTTCCGACTCTGTCTTTACATTTATTTTGAAAGCTGAAGCTCACGATTATGG